CTTTAATATGTATTGTCCCCACAGATGAAGAGAAGACTTAAGGCAATTGAAATGTGGTTCTACAGAAGGATGCTGAGAATACCATGAATGGAGTATGTAAATGATGAGGAAGTTTTAAGGAAAATGGAAACATAAAAGACACCTATACTCAGAATCAAAAAGAGACATCTAAAATTTCTGTCAGATTATGAAAAAGGAATATTGAAGACTAAACACACATTGGTCAGGGAGCAACAGGTACCCACCTGATAAACTTATAATGAATGGATGGAAGAACAGAGAATGAGAGGAATGCTGAAAAGATAACCATTACTAAGAGCAACAAAGGTCAGGAAGTTGTGGAGAGTCATGATCACCATGAGAAACAGCAAATAGAAGTAGAATGCAAAATTGTAAGGGAATTGGATATGCACAATGGACATTAAAGATTTAATAAGAAAGTGATATTTAAAATTTTTCTTTTAATTCAGAGCCCTTAGCCAAATCACAAAGCAAATAACAGAAACCATTTTACTTGAGGACTATCAACACCAGCAACAACTAAAATGGAAAGCACATGTGACTCAAAACTCAAAAGAAGATGACAATATAATGAAGATGTTAGCATACCACACTACTTCAAATAACAAGTTAAGAAGGAAACTCATCAGTAGGAGTCAATAGGTTCACACTCCTCCACAGCCTTTTAAACAGGAATAGAGATTTATCCCTTGTTTTCTGTTAGGTTAGGTTTCTAGTACCTTTTTTTGCCTGAGCTATGAAATTTTATTTTCTATTTTTTTCCTCCCTCAACAGGAGTAGATAGGTTTGTCTATCATATAGTTCACACTCCTTCCGGTCTTTTGAACAGAAGTAAAGTTTTATCCCTTGTTTTCTGTTTAGAACTGGGTTTCTGGTTCCTTCTAAGAACTTTTTCTTTTGTTTCACTTCCCACCTTTCTATGGGGTAAATTGATTAAAGAAAAAAATAATAATGTCACTTTGCCGTTTCTTAATACATTGTCTAACATCATTGAAGGCATCTTTCTTCATTTTTGAGAAAATTGTCACATTACTCACTGCCATGCAGAAAGACCAATATTATCTAACATTTGAACAATCTTTCTTACAATTTTTTTCTATTTCTTAACACTTCCGCTGCTAACTACGGAGCTCTTCATTTTTCTTATCTTGCTCCTACATTTTTAGCATACTGCTGGTATGAGTGTCCCATTGCGCCATCTATCGTAAAATCACAAAGGACAATGCTTCAAAAGATATGTGTATACTCAATACTGATCTGGTAAGTCATTCCCATGTATATCCATGAAAATGGAAGGCTGTAAAACACACTGGTGCCAGTTTTCTGTGTAATAAAATATGTAGGTTGAAATTTGGCATTTTCTTTAAAAATGGCTGGCCGGATGGGGGCAGCACTGGGCAAATGAGTAGCAGTGAAAGTGTTAATACTTTGTTTACCTTCCAGACAACCTCTTTAACTATTTCAATGCATTTTTGTATTTCTGTGTCATATTTCCTGTGTTTAGAACACTTCCTTGATAGTTTGATTTCAGTACCTGCTTAATTTTCACATCTTCAATTTGTAGCTTGCAACTTGAACCATCCCACTTATGCACTGTTGTCATTATTATCATTCTTGTTAGTTTACAACCTTTTTGAACCAGTAAGATGGGAAAATCAACAAGAAGCAGTGGAACCAAAGGACTCTGGAAAAAAATCGATGGTATTTTAGACTAATAATTCTGCTGCTAGTGTATCTAATTTTGACACTTAAAACCAGAAGAAAAAGAAGCTCCCCCCCAAAAAAAAAATTATGAAGAGAAACAAAATGGATTAAGAAAATAAAAATTTATTCCTTTAGGGTGGGAAAACTTTTGGTTGATGTCTCTTTTCTCAAGTTCTCCTCGACTCTCCCAGAACCCTCCTCAACACTCCACCAGCAGATCACGCTTCCTTTTCCAGTAACCAAATGCTTATTGGATGGCAGCTGACTGTGCACAAATCTAATTTTTATTTTTATCGGCTTTTTCCTGGGGGGTTGGAAATGGCAGTATAAGAAGGGTGAGGTGGCAGTGCTGACGTTAGCATCAGCAGAGAGCACCAGGGTAGCTAGAGGGACAACGTTGTTTAGGATATGAGAAGTTATAAAAGCAAAAGTATGGTTGTCAGAGAAAAAGGGATTATGGGTAGGAAAGAATTTACGAAGAAGCAGTTTGGAAGTTAGGTGGCAGCTCTCATAATTAAATTAAGTTATATACATACATTCAAACATGCACACACACACACACACACACACACACACACATATATATATATATATATATATATATATGTCTTGCACAGAAGTTGATTCTTGAGAAAATTGCCTTCAGTTTTTAGGTTTTGTTTTATTTATTTATTTTTTTTTTTAATCAGCAAACTTACACAACACCTGTGATATTTTGGCACCACAAACACAACCATTTTTGTTTGTTAGGAATTTGAAAGATAAATCCAAAACATTTTTGGTGCATGGACATCTACATGGATCATGTAGTGATTGTTGTTATCCCTGACAATTCCTTTGTGAAGTATAAGTCCACATTCTCTTAATGATAGGTGTTATATCAGTAGATTCTGTAGTAAATAGGTTTTTACTGGTTGCCAAGATAACTGGTTAGATAGCTCTAATATTAACCCCTAATTGAACAAAGAAGAGAGGAAATCATATTTTTGAAAGGACATTTTTAATGGATTTATTTTTAAGCTGGCATTTTTATTCCAACACTAGCGGTAGAACCTGGCGTTGCCCAGGGATGTAACAGTAAGAGATAGATCAAGTATCGACCATCATAAAGACTGAAAAATAAAATTGACAAAGATTATTGTTTAAGGTTAACGGACATGCATGTCTTAATTAGTTTTTTTTTTTTTTTTTTTTTTTACGAATTGGTCAAACTCAAACAAAAACATTGTTTTCAATCGTTATGAGTCTACCGATTGAATAGAATTTTATTATAAACAATTGTCTTGTAAATGGAATTTTTAAAGCATTCTGAATGTAAAAATAAAGGAAAAAGTGTGCAAGACAATAAGAAACACTACCTGCCAAAAAAAAAGTGAAGTTTTGTTGAAATCAGTTGAAAAATGTAGGAAATCCGATCCCATATATAAAGAAACACACACACGCACATACAAACAACCTGTGTTTTATAATAAGTATAACTCGATATGAGTTGTCCCCCTTTCATTCTCGTGATCCCTCTTAATCGTGTTTTCAAATTGATTTCATGCAAAAACAATTGTGTTTTTCCAATTTTTGGTGCTGTCATAACCACCGCAAGGTAATTTTGTTTAGTCCTGTGAAGTTTTGTTGAAATCGGTTGAAAAATGTAGGAAATCCGATCCAATATATAAACGTACAGACACACACACACACGCAATCTGCGTTTTATAATAAGTAAGATTATTATTGTAGATATTTCACATTTGAAGTTCTAGGTATGATGATTAACTACATCCTGCAGCAAGGTCTCTGATCAGGAGATAGGAGGTTTTGAGGAATGTAGAAGCACATCTTAATTGCTGTTGTTCCCAGGTTCACCCTAGCCCCGGCTTGTAGAACCTGTTATGGTTCCACCTTGGCAAATAGTGAGCCCCACCAGCCCAAACAAAACCACTATGAAAGTATAAAAATACATTTTAATAGTTAAAATACCAGCAATACATTTTTATATAAAAATAGATTGACAATACATGACCAGCAATACATTTTATCTATAGTTGAAGGCATAAATTTGTGTTCAAAATATTTAGATTATGGCATTAAATAACTCATATAGGTTGATATGCTGCTAAACAAAATCAACCAACATGAACTTTCATGACATTAATCCATATAATATCCTACAATTTCTTAAATCAATCTGTATTTCAAAATATAACTTAAAAGCACATATATCTCTGCCTCTAGTAATCATGTCCACACAAACTTGTATATGCATAAAAGGTGAGTATCATCTACCATGTATTCAATTGTGAAAACAGAATAACATTTTTATTATTTCAAAACTCCCAAGAAAATTAAATTTCAGCATTAAATGACCCATAAAGAGTTGATATGCCATTAAACAAATTAACTCCATATTTGATGATCTATTTTTTTTAATTTATTAAACAGTGTGTATTTTGTCAGCCTGGTCTAAGTGAAGAGATGTCTTTTCTTTAAAAAACAAAGGGAAAATAGAATCTTTCTTGCTGCAATGTTCTTTGTGGCCAAGCAGTGAAGCACATTGGATCAAATGGTGGTTTTCCCTACAAAGAGCATGCAAGTTTGCTACGTGCCAGGGACCACATTTTTTTTTTAACATATCTCAAATGCACACGCCAAGATAGATGCAAACATTGGGTTAATGTTTAATAAATAAAAATGGAGCATTTATCTCAAATATATATTCAGTTCATTTGGTTTTACGCCATATCAGCCCCAGTGATATTTATTGTCAACAAGATTTTTAGGACAGGTTTATATGAATGGAATAAGTATTTATAAGAAATCAGTTTGTAGATCAGATTTCTTTGACATGTTTTGTAAAGAGGCTTTTTGTTGAGAGTCAAATGTATTACTGGTAATATTTTTTTTTTCTAAAATGTATTGCTGGTAATTTTACTATACAAATCTATTTTTATACTTTCATAGTTTTTGACCCCAGTTTTGGGGGGTTAACAATTTACCTATAGCTGGGACCCTAACATGTACTACCACCACAAGTCAAGGTAGACCTGGGAACAGCAGCAATGAAGAGGTGGTTCCACACTCCTCAAAACCTCCTGGTCAGAGTTTATGCTGCCAGATGTAGTTTATCATCACACCCAGGATGCTTCAAATATAGTGTATGCTCTATAATAAAATTTGAAGTAATAAAAAAGAGTATTCATGCAAAAGTGAATAAAATAACCTCATCTGAAATTTGAACTCAATTGCACTGGAATACCACTAAGTTATTACTAAGCTAGCTGGCTTATGGCCATATCACATTGAGACATCTGTTCTTGTCTGATCAGCAAAGTTAAGCTATGTCAAGCCTGGTCAGTACATAGATGGGTGACTGCTTGGGAATATCTGGTGCTGTAAGCGTGGATGTGTGAGTGGTGTAAATGATAAGGGCTCAGAATGAGAAGTTGGAAAGCCAAATTTGAATTCCACTTGGGTTCATTACATTAACTTATGCACTAATACCCTTGGGAAAGCTATGAATCCACCTCTTCTCCCTCCATCAGTGGGTTAAAATAATAAGACTTGTATCTGAAAATCATTATTATCTCCAAGAAATTAATACAATATTCACTCACAAAAAAGAATTATTCTTATAATCCTAAAATGAGTTTCAGATTTAAATAACTTTCAAAAGGTTGATAAGTCAAAAAAACAATCAATCAATCAATAAATAAAAAAAAAACTAAGCTACACACACATTTACCCATGTCATTGGTTTGGAGACAGAAATTTTTTTTCATTTATACTAATACAATTTTTTGCTTTGTACTCAGTTTCTTTACATATTTTTTTTTTTTTACAATAATGTTCACCCTGCACAAATCCCAAGAGCCACTCAAGCTAGAGGGTTACAGATTAAGAGTTAACAAACACAGTTTATACAGATATGTGGAGAAGATAACAGTTAACCCTAGACTTGAACAGGTCAAGATTAAAGTGGTCAGGGAAGCATCCACTTGGGAGTCAGTTCTCCAAATAGTTCTTCATGAGAACCTTTTCGAGTGGAACTTACATCTCAACAAAGGCTCTCCATAGATTATGTTTTTGTTTTTTTTATTTATGAATTGCCATGATATATTCAGAATGTGAGTAGAGTGGTTTCCTATTGACTGACCTCACTTTTGCATTGAGAGTTGACCTTCTCCTAGACTAGCTGCCATATCAGGCTACAGACTTGCATCTACACTGCTATTCAACCAATTTCTGGTGGGAAGAGATGGATTCATGCCTTCTCCAAGTGTATTTGTGTGAAAATGAACAATAATTGTTACCCCCAGATTTTTACGTTCTTCTTCTTCTGTGTACCATATCCCTTCAGGACGTTAATGATCATAGCTCTCCACAATTTCTTATCCTTTGTAACTCTTAGTTAAGTTTGTTTTTTGTTATCTCTTGTCATTTCTCTTCTGCCACCCATTTACACATGCTTATTAAGTAAGTTATGCATTGCTTTCTTTTGCCTCTCTTGCCTTCAATATATCCTATGAGTGTCAAATTTTCCAAGCCCTCTTTCCTCATTATGTACCCTAGGAATTTGAACAATCTCTTTCTGATGCTATGTATACATGTTCTTTTTGTTTCTGTTTTCCTTAAAACTTTAACCTTGCCTATTTGTGGTATTCTCAGCATCCTTCTGTAGAACCATATTTCTGTTGCTTCAAGTCTCTTCTTCATCTGCAATCACTAACATATAGGAGGCCTGATATTACATAACAGTTCAGTAGTTGTTTCTTTGTTTCTAATGAAATTTTCCTATTTCTTAATACTTTGCTTAGCTTTTGGAAGATATCTTTTGCCATCTCAAAGCAACTTTGGATTTCACTGCAACATATTCTGTCTCATTTAAAACATTTCCTAGAGACACAAATGAAACATTAGTTGCACATAGCTGTGAGGTTGTTTTCAAATTAGTTCTGTATTTTTATCAAGTTGGTTAAATCCCATCCAAAGGCAAAAAAAAAAAACATTAAATTTATTTGTCAAGAATATAATGGTAGTTTGCTCTCTGTGCGTTGACCTTCATGGAAAATGTTAAATATTGTTGATGGGAAGGACTCATAATCGACAAATGAAGATTCTTTTTATCTAAATTTCTGGAATGAAGAATTATCATTATTTACATTCAGACTAATATCCTCATCTGTGTTGTTTGTATAACATAATTTCAAACAGAAACGTGATTTTACAGAAGGATGCTCAGAACAGATCATGTATGCAACGAGGAAGTTTTAAAGTCATTTATATATAAAATCAAAAAGCGATGGTAAAATTCCTTGTCTACATAATGAGGAAAGAAGGCTTGAAAAATTTGACACTCAAAAGATATATCAACAGCAATAGAGATACAGGCAAGCAGCAAGCTGATGATTGTGTGAATAGATCTCAGTATGGGAAGTGGGAAAGATTACTAAGAGCTACAAAGGAATAGGGAGTCCTGGAGAGCCATGATAGCCCATGTCTTGAATGGACACAGTATATAGAAGCATACTCATCATACACAGGGAAGGTGGGGGTTTAAATCTATTCCCAAATGTCAATCTCTAAAGAGAATTGAGGTTTCACTTGAAAAAAAATGACAGATAAACGTCATCTAATCTTTCCAGGCTAATGATCTTCCTCTTGAAAGAGATTTATAAATTGTAACTGACATGTGGAATTCCAAACACTGTTTGGCTACAGTTGAAGGAAATTTGGCTTTCCTTTTTTCTATAAGGTTCAGTGTGTTTAGGACACAATGCCAGAAACTGGGTAGATAATAAACTTATTTTACTTACCTATTGATCAAGTTAAAGAATAAAGGTTGGAGTTGTACAGTTGGCACTGTGACCTGAAATAATCACTTTTACAAACTTTCTTTTTCAAATTGCTATAGATAAAACACTCCAGATCATGAAGATTATAAAAACTTTTTTTTGATGAAATTTTATAGAAATTAATAGCAGTGTCCAGATTTCTATGTTAATTGATCCCTCTACAGAAGCCAAAATAAATTTGCTCATATGATGTGATTTCTTGAAATTTTAAAAAAATACAATTTTTGTTCTTTAATTCATGATAATCTGGATTGCTTAATTAATAGAAATATATGAAAAATTATGAAATATATGAGATTAATAGAAATATATGAAAAAAAAAAAATTGAGATTAGAGATTTGGAATTTCATATTTTTATTTTTTACATTTTAATAAATCATGTGATGTGAGCATTGTTGTAGCATCCTTACGGATGATGATGAGTATGTCCCCATTCATATAAATAAAGTAGTAAATACTGTATATTGGTCTGCAGTTGGAGATTCATTGTGAAATTCACTTGGCTCACTTCTAGCATTTGACTCCTACTTCTACGTGCTGCTGGCAAATCTTATATGTGTTGTTCTTGTCCAAAGTATTATCGTTCATTACCAACCTTTGTTTGATTATTCTATTCAGTAACCTTTCTTAGTTTAAACAAGCATATTTTTATTTTGGCTTCACTAGAAGGAACAGTGTATAATGAATTTACAGAGTAAACTTTTTTATTAAATTAACTTTTATAAAATTTGATAAGGCTACTTGAAAAGTTAGCCTTATGCTACATTCCATTTGATGAGTGGGTATGCCAGCTTTTAGTCAAAACTTATAAATACCAAAAGGCTGTAGGTTTTAGGTTATAGATTAGTGATCTCAAAATTGCTTTTAACTGTGGACTCTATGATTCTATTTTTCCTTAAGGAAAGTAAATCGGTACATAACAGTCAGGGTAAAACACAGCAGCAGAAAAAATGACTTTATCAAAAGAAAGCTATTAGGTTGTTTCTTAATTTTTAAAAACATGAAGCACTATTACATTTTGTTGTTTCCAGTCTTTTGGGAATAACTGTTAAAATCATTCCCTCCTCAAATTTACAGATAAATTCTACAGATGCATGCTGGGACTTCTTGGTCTCATCTGCCATATTTTTGTTCTTTCTTGTCTTGAAGTCAGAATGTTACAATCACTTAACTGTATCCCTTTTGCACATAAACACATTTGTGCATTTTTATTGCCTTATTACTGTTGCTTTACTTAGTTTTGTCTTGCATAAAGATCATTTGCTTAATATTATTTTGCCCTGTCTTTTTTATTTTTTTTCTTATTGTTTATTGGAAACTTTGTCAATTCAATCTGTTACACTTAACCATGGCCAATTACTCCACACATTTTATTCAATGATATTTGCATTGACTTGTTGCCCCTTACACACAACTTTTAGATAAATTTTGAGTAAAATTCTACAAGCTTTTCCCCATCAGAGCATTTTGCAGTGGTCAAAGAAAGTATTAATCAGTTAGTATAAAAGTCAGTTGAATATGACAAGTGGGCTAAAACAGGTCAACTAAGTTCTGAAATGTTTTCCCTGTGTTAATTATTGCCATATATAGCATTGCATTGTCATGTAGGTGAAAAACATTTTTCCTGTTGACAAGTAAGGGTTGGAATTTTAAATGTACAATGTTTCATTGCATTTTAAGAACTCTAATTGACTATTACCTCAATAATTTCACTACATCATTACCTTTCCTTCATGGTTAACAGCTTTTGGTGTTGATTGTGGAGATCAATCTTTGTCAATTCACTGTATTTAGTTGTAGGTAATAGATTTTTCATCACTTGTTATGATGTTTAAGTAAGAGTTAAGATAATACTTTCATCATTACAATTAGTTCCAATAAAATGGTAATTTCTTATAACTTAAGCAAATAAGAACTGGAAAAATTAACCTCATTTTAAAGTAACAGATATGTCCATCTTGACTTCAATATGTCCTGCCAATGTCAAAATCACTAAGCTCTCTTTCCTTATTATGCCCTCCAGTAATGTCAGTTATCTCTTTCTGATGCTAAGTATAAGTATTCTTATTTTCATTTGTACTTTCTTTAAAATATTTTGTTGTTCTCATATTCAGTCTATGGTATTCTCAGCATCCTTCTGTAGAACCAAATTTTCTACTACCTCAAGTTTCTTATTCATCTGTGAGGAAATTGTTCAGCATTCACTGTCTTACAGGGGACTGATATAACATAATAGTTCAGTATTCTTTTCTTTGTTTCTAATTAAAAATTCCTTTTTCTTAATGCTTTGCTTAGCTTTTGGATGTCATCTTTTGCTATTTTAGTGTATCTTCAGATTTCAGTGTGATATTTTATGTGCTATGTTAAAACAATTTCTAGATATTTAATATTTTGTACTTTGATTTTCATATTTCCCATTTGGAATTCACAAGCTGGGCTGTGCCTTTGTTTGAAATACACACACATATATATATAAGAAAAAAGGAACTATTGTATATTTACATATAAAATGTGACCTAGATGACTAACCGGGACCCATATGAT